CAAATACCAATATGTTTATGTAACTTTCACATATATTTAATTTACTACTAAATACTAGATAGGTATATTTATATATGTAACTTCCACATATATTTAATATATTAATAATTGAAAGATCCAATTTTTTGGCAATTTTAAAAATAAAAAAACCAAAAATCAATATTTTTTCAATAAACCAATTTTTTAAATGCCAAATAACATTAAATAAATAGTATATAATGAATTGGATAATTAAATAATTTATTTATATATTCTTAATGTAATATATATATATTATATTAAAGTAAACTTCTATAAATAGCATGTGATGTATTATTTTATAACAATTAGAATAATAAATTAAATTATTAATTAATTATATCAATTATAAATTTTTGTAAATTTTCTTTACAAAATTTTCGTATAATATTTATAAAATACAATGTTCATATAACTTTTACAGTGGCGGTCAAAAGTAATGCATCACCGAAATGAAAAATGTAAAATGGTGATCTTTCATAACACAGTGGTTATGACAGTACAAAAATGTTTTATTTTAATTTAATAACGATAAGTTTATTATTTGTAAAAAAAATTTATATACATTAATAAAATAAAAGTCAAAAAATTTATTAATATTGGTCAAACATGTGATGCATTTCTTTTGATTGTCATTAAAATTTTTTTTATTTGCACAATAAAGATCCCAAAAACAACCCAAATATACAAAAATTTTGATAAACTACATTTTACCACCTTGTATAACCTCCATTAGCTCTAATAACATCATTTATACGATCTGGCATAGTATCAACCAACTTTTTACACACATCATTCTTTAACTCAACCCATATTTTTTGTATTGCATCCCACATCTGATCCTGTGTTCTAATAGGTGTTTCTAAACGTCTTAAACGACGATCCATTTCATTCCAGAGGTGTTCAATTGGATTGAAGTCGGGTGATTGCGCCGGCCAGTCAAGCACTCTAATATCATTATCTTCAAGCCACTGTTTTGTAAGATGTGCAGTATGCTTCGGATCATTGTCTTGTTGAAAGACAATATTATCTTTATCCATCCCATGCCACTCGATGGTTCCTAATAAGTCTTCCTCTAAGATCTGACGATACAAATTACTATCCATATGACCATAAATTCGGCATATGTTACCAACGCCACTAGATGTAAAACATCCCCATACCATAATACTACCCCATCCAAATTTTACTGTTGGTTTGACATGATGGTCTCTTAATGGCTCTCCCAGTTTTTTCCAGCAATATTCTCTGCCATCTGATCCATATATCATGAACTTTGACTCGTCAGACCAGATAACTTTGCTCCAATCCTCTGTTGTCCATGATCGATATTTTTTTGCAAATTTCATATGAGCAATTCTATGTGTTTTTTTAAGATTTTATTTTATTTATTTTATTTTATTACTAAAAGAGTAGTACTCCCAAAACTATTACAAAATAAGAGTAAAACATCATTTACATGATGGTACAAATAGGCTAGTATAGAATTTTGGAAATTAATCCCCTACGGGACCCCACCCTTCGAACAATACTATTCAAACTACTAGAACTACGCTAATACTTCGAATGGGGAAAAGAAAAAAATAAAACCTAAAGACCCATCCGTAACGAGAGAACCTAAAAATAAAAAAATTATATATATAGAAAATCAATAGTTCTAGAGTAGTATAGACTATTAAAAGCAACTACGTGCGAAGGGGTTATATATTATAATAAAATAAATTGGTGTCAAATTGAATAGAGTCTATTATCGTTAAATATAATGAATTAATCCATGGAAGGTTATGTCTGAAATTCGAACTAGTTAAATAGATCCAAAGAACAGAATCATCTAAGTTTCTAGTAGAAGTCATAAAAGGATTGGAATATCCAATATTAAGTATATTGTCATTCAATGGATTATTATGAGATATATCAAAATTATTTTGACGTTTACGTTCCCGTCTAGTATTAATTCGTTTGGTGAAGGTGGATTTTGTAATACCATGATCCAATTTATATTGTTTCCATTTAGAGGTCTGAACTTTCCATAAAAGTTCATAAATATCTTTGTGCAAGTCGAAAAGGAATGTTAAAAGTTATTTTTTGATTTCTTTTTTTGAAATTTTTGCGTCTTGGAAAGGTTTAATAATAGAGAAGGGAATCATATTGATTAATATGCAATGAAGATCTGGAGCGTCAAAGATAGTTGAGATATTTGAATTAAAACAAGTAAAAACTGGAGATTCGGTTATTGTTGGAATTTCATTTTTAAATTTATCATAATTGATGTTGTTAATGATAAGCGAGTTATATATTGATTCGTGTTTTCTAAAAATATTTTTCAAAATTTTTATGGATTCAGAACAAGTCCAGAAATGTTCATTAGTTTCTGTTGAATTAGAACATAGGAAACAGGTATCAAAACCTTTTAGTATATCTGGGTAATTTCTATTTAAAGCGTCTAAAGTGGGTAAGGCGTAATTAGAGCATTTCATCCGCCAACTAACATGTTTACTATATGTTTGTGATGTTGCCTTGTGAAATGGGTTAAAAGACATCCAATACTGTGTGTATTCCCAATTGATGCGTTGTTCTAGAGTAAATGTTTTGATAATATGTAGAGAGCGATGCGATATTTGACGTTCGATATTTCTAAAATTGATTGGTTTTTTTAATGTTTTCCTTATATTACGATCTATGATAAACTCTTCATTAAATTTTATATAGCCTTTCTGAGGTTTTACTCCTACTGGTGATATAGATATTATGTCCGGTTGTTCACAACCTGCTTTAGCTAATGTGTCTGCTATATCATTATAAGTGTTTCCTGAATGTGCTTGTACTTTGTTGAGTTTTATTGTTAAATTAAGTGATTGGATTATCCACTTTATCGCTTGCCATAAAAGAACATTATTGAGTTTTTGTAATCTTCGAGGTGTCATTTTATAATGTTGAAGTGAGTAGTACGTGTCTATCGCACATTGACTATCAGTAAATATGGTCACGTGACTATTAGGTGGACAGATAATTAAACATGTTAATATTGCAAAAATTTCCGCTCTAGTAGAGCTGGCCCATTCAACTGTTTTTCCACTAAATTTTAGATCTAAATTAATATCATTAGTTAAAATCCATCCAAAACCCATGATGGAAGAATCATTATATCTTAACAGAGAACCATCAGTGTAAAACTCTAAACTATTAAAAGATGAAATTAAATTTGCGAAAGAGAAAAAAAAATTATGAATAGAAAAAGGTAATAAAATTGTTTTAATTAATTGAAAATTTTTTTGTGAAATGTTATTAAACAAAGGAGATTGTTGAATAATATTTTCTGTTTGTCTAAAATTGGGGTTAATGCTTTCATTGTAATCTATAAAAACATCAGCACGTGTTTCACTGTGTGATTTGTGTACAATAAAAATGTTATTTTGTCTATTATTATTTTTTCTATATATATTAGCGTGTACTGAAATTGTATTATTTGAAGGGAAACTAATAATACATCGTGGACGTATATCTCCTATGTAAAAGGAATCATGTAAATCACAACCTGGTCAAGGTATTAGTAAATTAGGCATAGAATGAGGGGTTAAACTAGGATCTTGTGGTATAGGGTCGCGAAAAGGAATATGATGTTCACCATAGACTTTGGGAACATCTGAAGGAAATTGTGATTTTTCTATTATTTTGATATATATAATGTCAGAGTAACGGGGAGACCAAAAGCTTGTCCATTGATTTTTGCATGGTAAACTACGGTTGTTACTTTTGATGATTTTAGGTCTTGTTAAATTTTGTGATGGTGAAGGGTTATTATTATTTGTTGTAAATTGTAGTCTATTTGTATTATTATTGAGTACTATGTTTTCCTTTAAAAAATCATACCATTTGGGACGCCGCCCACTTTTTGATTTGAGTGTTTTCTTGATTTCTTTCCATGTCTTTAAAAAAGCGCCATCATTACTAATTATTTGGTCTAAAAAGAATATATCTTTATGTTTTAAAGAACGTAAAAATTTAAAATATTGTTTTGGATCTGAAATAAAATAACTTATAGGATGTTCACCACCAGTAACATGGTATTTATTTGAGTGAAAGAACGATAAATTATAATAGTGGAAAATACATAAAAGATTTTCTAATCTATTAAATAATTTCATAGGTTTATGGAAATATTTGGTTGTTTCACCAATATCATTTGTCCATAATCGATTTTGTGATGTTAGGATAAGAAATTGTATTAAAGGAGAAGTTATAGGTTTATTAATTTGAGCTTTTAATAAAGACGCTTGAGCGCGCAATTGTGAATCCCAAATATTTAATATATTCGGGTAAATAGGATTATGTATAACAGAATTAAAAAAAGATTTTGGTAAGGATAACGAATGCTTGTAGATAGACCTAATAATTCTATTAAACTCATTAATAATATGTGGTGGAACTAAAATATGTTGCGTTAAATACTCTATCCTTGGCAGAAGAACCTTATTAATGATGTAAATCACGTGATCGTGCGTGATTTTTTTCTTTCGTAAATTATAACAAATATAATGTAACATCTTTTTGATCTTTTTGTAGGTAAAAGTTGGTGAGTTGTTGATATTAACATATATACCTAAAATTCTTTCATTACTATTTTTCGGGACTATCTCTATATTAATAAGATCATTACCAAAATAAAATGGAATATGTTTGTCATCTTTTGCTAAAAGTGTTTTATCTTTCGTTAATAATTTTGTTTTCTCCTTATTGATTTTGATATTAGCTAATGAATAAAAATCATCTGCTATTGCTAAATTGGCTACTAGGTCATCGATTTTATTAGCAAACCAAGTGGTATCGTCCAGGTATCCAATCAATTTTAACTCTAGTTTTTCTTCATGATAATCATCTTTTCGATAAATATTCATCGGGAGCGTTGCATGTAATTTATATCCATCGTATTGGGAATCATTGATGGCGGCGAACATTGGGTCGTAATAAATGACCCATAAGAGCGGTGAAATTATTTCTCCTTGAATTATACCCTTTTTTAATTCATAAGGATCAGATAAAGTATCAGCTAATATAATTCTATTGTGATGTCCTATAAAAAGATTTTCTATTAATTTGATTATATTAGGGGGTATGTTAATTCTTTTTAAAGCTAACGAAAGCAAGGGAATATCTATTCTATCGTAAGCCTTACTAAGATCTTGGAGTAAAAGATATAACGGGTTATTTGTATCTTTTTGATGTTCTATAATAGATTGAATGTATAAAATAATTTCATTTCAAGATGCTCCTTGTACACCTGCTTGATTATTATGTTGGAGAATGTTATTCGTGCTTAAATATAAATTAAGTCTTGAATTAATAATTTTAACTAAAAGTTTGCGAAAACAATCTAATAATATAATAGGACGCGTATGATTAATATCGTAGTTCCACCAAGTGGGTTTTGGAATTGGATAAAGGAGAGCGAGTTTAAATTGTTCTGGAGTAACTTCATTGATAAGTATATAATTAAAAAGTTATAAAATGACTTCTAAAATTTGTAAATGTAATTGTTTAATAATTTCATAGCTGATCTTATTAGGTCCAGCAGACTTTTTTGTCGGTAAATCTTTAATTGCTTCCTGCAACTCGTCCATTGTGATCAATCTATTTAATTTGTTAATATTTTCTTGTGATGCTACATTAATAGGCGTATATATAGACTTCCAGGGCTCACGTAAAGGTGATGATGGATCATAAGATAAAGGTGATTGTATTACTTTACCAATGTTGCTGAAATGGTCTATTGCTTTTTCTTCTATTTCATCCTTATCTGTTGTAAAAGTTGTGATATCGTATTCATCTTTAAATATTAATTTGTCCATTTTGATTTTTTCTGGCACTCGGTCTAATAAAGATGTTAACATCCTTTTCTGGTTTAGTCTTAGATCATCGTCACGTCTATTAATAAATTTTTCTATTTTTTTTTTTTGAAAATGACTAATTTGTTCATTTAATGAATTATTAATGAATGTTTTGATTTTAATTAAAGTATTCAAAATAGTTAAATAATAAGGAGCAGTCAAATAAGTTGGCCACACGACATCACGTGTATTAATTGATAAATTTCGTAAGTCTAAATTTGAAACGATTCTTTTTAATCGATTTAATTTTTTAGGTCCCTCCCAAAAAGTGGTATCATAGAAATAATATCTTGATCGATGTGTTTTAGGATTAAAATAATTTTCTAATCTATTAATAAGGGATGCTATATAATAAAGATCATTTTCTAAAATTCTAATCGAATAAGAATAAGTGTATTGATGCATGTTTTGTTTAATTATAGGAAATCCTATAGCGTTTATAGCTTTGTGAATACTTTGTACTATGTTTTCAAAAACAATGTTGACATGTTTTTGTGGGTTAATGTGTGTTTGTGAACGTGTCGAAATTGATTGAAAATTATTCCATACTAAATTTTTAAAGTCTACCCACTGTTCTTTTGTTATTTTTTTATAATTATATCTTTCATTATTAGAAAGTGAATTCTTTTTACACATTTCAATTTCATTGAGAGAATCGTTTAAAATATTTTGATTAGGGGAATAAAAAAATTTGTTGTTCAAAGTGATCACTATTAATCGGTGATCAGTACTTATTGGTTCAGTAGCTATAGTACCAAATAAACAATGTGTTAAAAAGTTTGGTGAAACAAAAATAATATCAATATAAGACGTATTTTCAGAGGTATTGCTAAAGGTATAAGATGGTGTATCATTAAAAAATTTGACAATGTCTTTTAAGCGATTATTTTTAAGGATGGTTAAAATGTTTTTGTGATAATACGCTGAAGTCTCGTGATTAGAATTTATAGGGTCGTCTAATTGAACATTTGTAAAAGTTGAATTTGTTTTATGAGGATTTATATTAAAATCTCCCATGATTATAGTTTTTTTGTAATTATTTTTTGTAAAGAAATAAGTTTTTAAATAAGAAATAATCTCTTTTAAAGTTGATTCGTTGTCTTTAGCAGATGTAATAGGTGGTAAATATAAGCCTATTATATGTAGTTGTTCTTGTTTTTTGAAAAAGAAAGTAACATGTAATAATCGACCAGGAATATGATCGATCCTTTGAATGTGTTTGTATAAAAGGGAGGAAATTATACACGAAACACCACTAGCAGAATGATCAATTGCAGGGTTGTGTACAATGTAAAAATTTTTGTGTTCTTTGTGTTTTGTAGGGTACGATAATTTTATAGGATTTAATTTTTTGTTTGACTTGTTCTTAGAGTCTTTTAGATGTGTTTCTGTTAAAAATAAGAAATGAATGTCGGCCTCAATCATATATGAAATTAAATCTCTTTTTTTCTTTTCAAAGGATCCTTGTAAATTTAAAGTTGCAAAATTAATGTGCGAATGTGAATTAAAAGAAGAAAAATAAGAAGAATTATTTTTTTGATTTTTATAATTATTATAATAATTTTTTTTGTAGTTTTTTAGATTTTGTGAATTATTTTGAGAATAAGTAAGAGAAGGAGATAAAGAAAATAAAGAATTTGAATCAGTGATCAGGTTTAGAGGCTGATCGGTATTATTAATATTGTTGTCCATCATTAGTCCACCCTGATAGTTTGAGAGATATATACTTGTACTGAATGGAATTTAACGGACAAGGGATTTTATATATCCTGTAAATCCTTTGCTTTGTTCTTGTGATGAAACGTCATTTTCTTGATCGTGGTTATTGTATTCGTTGCCGTATTGACTTAAACGCTCTTCTTGTGATATATCTTCAGTTTCATTATTATAAGATGCAGAAGAAGGTGTATGTAAGGATGATGAACTACCATAATTTTCGTCCCATCCTTCATTCGGTTGTGAATTAGCGTTATAATATTCGCTATTAATCATTTCATGATGTTCTTGATTGTAGTTATTGAACTGGTATATTTTGTGTTGTGGCGTATTGTATTGTTGGTATGATGGCGAAATTCTTCCTTCTTTGGAATTTCGTCTTGGTTGGTTCGATTGCATTTGAGGATTCAGATTTTGTTCAGGGATGTATTGTATTTGTAACTGCTCTTCTTGGTGATGATATTCTTGAGGTTGATGGTGTGATTGTCCTTTGACTGCATTTAAAATTTCTTTGAGTTGAGCGTCTTTAACAATATCTCTTTCAGACATAGTCTGTTGGAAATTAACCATTTTATCCATGGATTCTTTAACGTAATTATTGTGTGCGGAGACTTCTTTCGCAAATACTTTAAGTTGTTCAATTTCTTTTTTTTGATCGTCTACCTGTTTTTCTAAATCTTTAATCATTTTTTCAGCCCATTTCATTTTGTCATTTAAGGTAGCAATATCGATAGAAATTTGAGTTGAGTTACAATCGTTGTTATTGTTATTATTATTTGGTTGATTGTTGATATTCTGTCTAGGGCGTGTAGGAGAAATTGGTTGATTGTTATAAATCATTTGGCGTTGGGCCCATTGTTGTTGTTGGTTTGAGTTTCTATTGGTTGGTTGATTAGGTTTGGTTGATGTTTTTGAAATTTTTTGTCTATTGAAATCTTCATTGATCTTCATAAGAGATCCATAATTTTCTGATATGCTTTTACTAACCACTATTTTTGCAGTGTTACGAGGGATATTGATGGGTTTGAAGAATTTTTGTCCATTAGGCGAATTAGTATGTTCAGAGTTGCATTCTTGTATCATGTGTTCAGGTGAGCCACATTGTATACAAGTTTTAACGTTATTATCAAGTGGAATAATATATAATGATGTATTGAATGCGGTGATTTTTTTAATTTTATCTTCAAAATTTTTGGGATCAACCATGACGTATGCTATTTTAGAACAAAATCTAGTCTTGGCTTTGGGAATTGAACAAGTTTCTCCATTTATGAGGGTTATTATTTTAGTCATATCTTTTACGTTCGTATTATTAGGAAGACCAGTTATTTTATATCCTTTTGACGTACGTTTTAAGTAAGCCTCGTGATTATTGTTAGTTGGTAAGATTCTAATGTTAAAATCTTCAATATCTAAGGACCATCCTTTGTCCATTAAGTATTTAGCACCTGCTGCAGTTTTGAATTCAATATATACTGTCTTATATTGTGGTAGTTTGGGGGCAAATCTGCCGTTTCTACGGCCTTGGTTGTTATTTCTGTATCGTTTCATTTCAAACTCAAATTTCTGTATAAGTTTTTTTTCATTTGAGTGAAAATTTTTGATTTCTTTTCCAGTTATATTAATTATGTTTTTTAAGAGTGCTTCAGTTTCATAAAATATCGGAACATCTATTAGTTTAACTGAATTTTTTGCTTGATTTTCTACATCTCTTTGTATATATGCCTCAATGTTTGAGGAGTCGTATGGGTGTATAATAGCATTTAAAATAAGGTGACGTTTACTAACGTATTTTTCAAAAATTTCTTTTCTAGAAAATTCTATAATAAAGACTGTGAGGTATTGGTGTTTTTCCCAATTGATTTTATTGATATCATTAATATGGTTGGAAAATGCGTCCCTTATTTTTTTTCTTATCTCGAAGTTATTTCCTTCATTTGGAAATTGATCTTTTGCGATGAAAACTGAAAAAGATTCTGTGGCTGAATTTTGTGTTTCAGAGTCGTTTTAGTCAATTTGTTCAATTTGTAATGTCTCCGTTGCTTTTCCTTTATTGGGATTAGAGTTATTGTGTTGATCACTCAAAGGAGTAATATTTTCTTTGTCTGTTTCCATTGGTTCACTTGTAGATCCTTTGTTTAAGTCATGTGATACTGATGATTGAGACGAAGAAGAATTTTTTTCAAATTCTATTTCCATTGCTTCTGTATTATCAAGAGTTTCTATGTTTCTAATCTTATTGGGCCTATTAAATTCTTCGTTTATTGTGTTGTTTTGTATATCTTTATCAACAGAATAAACTTCTTTAACAATTTCAGAGTCGTCTAAAGATCTTTTATCAGCTGTTTTAGCTTTTGAACGAGTAGTAATATTTGACATGATTGTAAAATATTAAAATGTATATTTTTATATCAAAAATAAAACTTTTTTATGCTGAGGAGTGTGATTTTGTAATAAAATTTATGGGTTAAAAATATAGTTAAACTGTAAAATCAAAATTTTCTTTCACTAATTTTTTGGTCTGAGCGATCGGCAGAAAAAGTTTTTTTTTTTCACTTGTTTTTTTAAGATAATGCTTCTTGCGTTGTAACCTGAGAAATCAGGATAATCACATGAGCGGATGAATAAAAGACCGAATGGAACAAGGATAAATAATTAACCGATGGATAAATAATTAGCCGAAGGATAAATAATTAACTGATAAAATAATATTTATAGTTTAGTTTAGTTTAGTCACGAGATAGTCATATGATAATACATCTTTATTTTCTTATTATTCTTAAATTTTTATTAGTAGAAAAGTTAGAAATAGTAGAAATAATTTTCTTAAAAATGTATAAATATAGGTGGGATTCGTTAGGAATTTCGCAGTCAGTTTTTGACTCAAATTTAATAAAACAAATATTAATTATTAAAAGTTATCTTGAATATGCTCATTGTACGCTTGAGAATTAATTAATATTATATTATTAAGTCCAGAAAAGTAAAGAAAAGGAAGTTATTCTCATTTCATTGTATGAAATAAGAAGTTAGTAGAACTCTCGCAGTTTATAATAAATAAAGTGGTAATATTTGAAAGAATAAATATTACATAAAGAATAATATTTTGGGAATATTATGAATGAGTGGTAGTATTTGAAAGAATAAATATTATGAATATATGAGAAAGAAAGTGAGAAGTTAAGAGAAAAATAAAATCTAAACCAAGCAGAATAACGAGAAATAAAGTTGTAATGAGAAAGATGTGTTTATCCACGGGTGGCAGATGTGGGTGACAATTTGGTGCATGCTTCCGAGAAAGGAAATGATTGACTGTGTGTCATCATTCTGACTATCGTCATATAGTCAGGTACCTGTGCGGTATTCCTAGAGGATCTGGACTTGAGTATAAAAAGAAAAAGTTATTAAGTGTACAATGAGAAATAAAAGAAGTACAAGTAATGAAGGATAATCAAAGCATGTGTTGCTTGTGATTAGGAGATTTATCAGGAAATTATGAAGTTTATTATGAAAAGTAAAGAAGTATATGCTAGTATGAAAAAGGACTAACATGAAATGAAAGAAAAATACACTAAACGATGTATAAACCTGATAAATAAGAAACAAAAAGTTGTTAATGACAAACCTAGAAACTACCATACTTCGATGTGAAGGTAGAGGTAAGCCTAGTATAGGTTATTGAAAGTAAAAGGAGATAATTCTATAAGAGTTATTGGAGTTAAGTTAGTCATAATAATTGACTATAGAAGAAAATAAGACCGTATCAAGATTTCACGGCAGGAAAGTAAATCTAATAAAAGAAATAATGCAAAAGTTGCGGGTGAACTATAAACCCAAGAGGTTGCATGGGAACCTTACAAGAAAAACACTAGTGGTTATGTGGGAACCTTTAAAACACTATAGGATTGTAAGTTGTGGGTTAAGCTGTAATAAACCCTCTGGATTGTAAGTTGCGGGTTAAACTGTAAGAAACTTTCCATTATCATTATTATTATTGTACGTTGTGGGTAAAGTGGTGTTAAACCCTCATATTAGTTTATTTTTGAAGAACTTGCTGGTCAAGTAAGAGAATGATAATAGCAATGTAAGAAATTATAAATTGAAATAAAGGAAATGACGTTGTTAAAAGAACTTAATAAATAAATGTTGTAAAGTAAATTGTGTGAATGCGCAGTAGGTACCAGATGTGTCTGGCACTTGAATAAATTTCAGAGCGCAGTAAAACACATATAGACCTCCCTGGTCTGAGGAGATTGTGGACTTAGATTATTTTCAGAAAAATAAAGTTAGTATATGAGAATATAGACCTCCCCAGAGCTGAGGAGATTACATAAGAATATTATGTAAGAAGTCACATGAGTAATACAAATCATATGAATTATAAAAAGTAGGTTACACAAAGCGCAGTAAAGTGATGAAAACAATAAAATAATACATACCTTGATGCGGTGGAATAAAAATAAAATGCGAGAAATTGAAATTTAAAAGGAAAGGGGGTGTATTTATAATTTTTGGAGTGATACAGATCACGTGTTGAGAAAGTAAATGAAATGAAATTAGAAGAAGTATGAGAAATACATGTAATAAATAAAGAAATAAAATATTTAAAATAAGTTATAAAAAGTACGAATTTATATTGTAAAAAGAATAAAAGTGTAATTATATGTTGAAAATAAAATAAGGCATTAAAATGGAGATACCAATATTTTATGGTGTAATAGGAGAAAATCCAAAAGAATGGACGAATCAAGTAGAAAAATATCTGTCAAAGATAGGAATTAAAGACGATAAAAGAATATTTGAAATTGCGAAGACACATTTGTTAGGAAATGCGTTACAATGGGTTTGAAAATGAGGGAATGTGTATTGCAGATTGGGATAAAAATAAGATCAAATGGTTGAATTTAAAATTTAGAATAATTGATAGATATTCGAGTGATAATAGAAGCTGAGTAATCGATTATTATAAAAGTAGAAGAAAATGAATAATGACAAAATAAAATAATAACAAATAAGAAATTTTGAATAAAATACGAGAAATGGAAACAACGATATTTGAAAATATAAATGGAAAAGGTTTTATCAGAATAGACGGTGAAGTAAAATGTAAATATTGCGAGAAAATAGAGAATGTAACGTTACAAGAAATTAATTATTTTGAAGTCAGGGAAGAAAGCGAAGAAAGTTTAAGAAACAAAATAGAAACGTTATGTAAAGAATACTTTTGAAAAGGAATGAAATATCTTAATGAACATGAAGAAAGATGTGAACACAAAAATATGAATATATTGCGAATGGGAGAATGCAAAATAGCTGCATATAGGAATAATCAGAAAATCTATGAACAGACAGAATATAGAAATTGAAGAGTAAGATGAATATTAAGGGATGAAATAAATATATGAAAAGACGTTAGAAGATAACGGGTGAAATAAAAGGATATTATAAGAAGAGTAATAAGTGTAATGAAGTTAAGCGGTTAAGATAGAAACACAGGAAATATGTAAATAATAAGAATTTAGGGACAAATAATTGTCCAGAAAGACATTAAACTAATTAGGAATTAATGAAGTTAGAAGAATATCAAGTTATGAGTAATAGAAGACTATGTAATAAAAGATGTAATAGAGAAATGTAATAAGAAGTCATGTACATGAGAATGTAAAGAAATAAAGATTGAAGTAATAAATGAATAATTATATGAATAAAATATAAATAAGTTGAAAATACGAAATGAAATCATTTTACAAGTGAATAAATAAATAGAATAAGTTAAAATGTCTGATATATATGATGAATTGGAAGAGATTAAGAATAGACATGAAATAGAGAAACATAATGAATCGAGAGAAGAATATCAAGTAGATCCTTCATGCCTAAAATGTTATAGTACTGATGAAATAGAGATAGGAGATTGGTTTAAAAGATTTTGGAAGATTTTTCAAAAAGTAATATTAGAAGCAATGAGATATAACAGAAATACATATGTAAAATTAATGGAGTACATAATACTAACAAGAAAGGATGGGGAAGAAAGTTATCTATCTAGTAAAAAGAAAAGATATAAAGAATTTGAGAAAATGAGAAAAGAAGGAGAAAAACTGTTAGATATAGTTGTAAGGTCAATTAGGTATAGAAATAAATCAGATTACAGAAAAATGGGAATTATATCAGTGATAAAAGTGATCTGTGAACATTACATATTGAGTGAAGATAATGAGTTTATATTAGACGATCGAACAGAAGAGAATCTATTAGGAAATAGGGAATTGTTAACATATAGATATATTATAGAAGATGACGAATTAGATATAAGATTTGCAAAATTTGAAGAATGGGTTAGACGAAATAGAATCAGTAACCATTAAAAACAAAGGATATGGTACTATGAGATATTTCAAAGAAATATTGCATTTAGAAGAAAATATAGTAGAAGAAGAAAATAGAGAGAAAGTCAAGAAGTTTCAGAAAAGTATAACATATCAATGGTGGGATATAAATAAATACCCAAGACCATGGATAAATGACGATGTAACAGATAAGATAATAAAGAAAATTGTAGAAACTAAAGGTTTTGTTGAAGAATATAGTGATGTAGGAGAACTAGAAAGTTCAGACGATATGGGAGAATTAAGTTCAAATGAAGGAGACGAACATATAGAAAGAACATATAGAAATTATTGGTTAGAAAATGGTTATAAAATTGATATTGAAGAAATAAGACGAATAATAAATTTCGGAGTGGAATATGAAATAATGAAAACTAAGGATTTTATGGAGAACTATATGAAAATTAAGGAATTAGATGATGAAGAAATAATCGGAGAACTTAGAAGATGGTATAATATGAATGCCACAGAATGTCCGTTATGTAACAAAATGATACTGAAGAAAGAAGCAGTAAAATACAATAAAGAATTTACAGGAGAAATATGTAAAAGTTGTTCTGAGAGAGAGGAGAATGATGTTAGTGAAGCAGAACTAAGAGTAAAAAGAATACAGAAAATATGTGAAGGAGCAGAAGTTGAAGTAACGGAAGGAGAAATATTACGAATGATAAATATGGGTTATACAGATGGAGAAATCTTAAATTGGAAGTTTATAAAGTTATTCCAAGAAAATAAGAATGAATTAGAAGGAGTCATAAAAGAAATATTAGATAAATATTTAAAAGAACAAATAGAGACAGAAGAAAACAATGAAGAAGAAGAGGATACAGATGATTCAGAAAAGATTGGAGAAATATTAGATCCAGAAGAATATGAGATCTGGGAAGAAAATTCTGAAGACTTCAATGAAAACGGAGTCGAAAATAATGAGGAAAATATTATAAATACAGAAAGTTTTGGCTTAAGTCAAAATTCAGATTCGAATAATTC